TCCTCCCTCCCTCCTGTCCTCCTGTTTGTGTTTTGGTTCTGGAAGCAGAACTGTAGAGTGGTAAAGTCACTAGTTTGAGGTCCTTCACTGCAGAGCCGAGTCTAACAAATGGAGCCTTTATTACAACTTCTTAATGTCTTTGCTGTCCAGAACCCATTGATCTCTGATGACTTGTGAAGTCAGTATCAGGTGGTCAGTTCCTCACTTGGTATGGCCTTAGTTTTAGCTTTACTAATCCCGTGAGGCTCGCTAATCCAAGCAGAATGGTGATGTGCGTGCCTGGCTTCATTTAGTGATGGGCCACCATGCAAGAGCATGGAACTAGATTTGCACTTCACTGGCTGGCTGGGGGAGTTCTTTTGGGGCTGCTGTGAGTGTGCTGCTGTGAGTGCTGTCCTTGTGAAAACTACCCTGAGTATGAATTTGCATAGGTTGTTTTGGTACGTAGAGGGAAGTGAGCAGTGGGGCATGAACGAGGGATAATAGAAATGGAACCAACACAGGTGACTTCTGCAAGATGCCTTGCACAGCATCCAAAATGCTCATTCCCGAGGCGGAAGAAGGCCAAGCTACAAATCAAACCAAAGTCCTCTCTGGAACATAATGTGTATTCGGAGGGAACTCCATCCAGCTTCCCTTTGGTTGTTACTTTAATGTTGTTACAGGCAATGGAGTCTGGCTTATTTTAGATTATTTTTATGCATTCATTTTCTAAACATTAGGCCTGTGTTTAGCAAATTCGCTCTCTCTTTTTTTCCTCACCAAAGTCTTTTCTTCTCCTCAGCTGGAATTTCTGATAGAGGAAAGTAAATGGTACTTCAAACCTGTAGCTGACTGAATCCCTGTAAAAGCTTGCTGCAGATGCAAGATCACGTGTTTTCCCTTCCTCCTCTCTTTTTTCTTTTCTTACTGAGAAATCGGGATGTTTTACATCCAAATTGGAGTGTTTCCCACAGATATTTGAACAAAGTGATGGAAAAATCTACTTTTTTTTGTTTGTTTTGTTTTTGTTTTCTTCAAAAATTGGAGGGAGGGGTTGATTTGTTAGAAAGTTTTATCCTGTAGTCCAGGCTGGCCTGGAACTCACCCTGTAGCCGAAGCTGGCCTCACACTCACGGAGATCCTCCTGCCTCAGAGTACTGGGACTACAGTCATGAGCCACCATAACCAGGTGTGATTAAAATAATAATAAAGGACTTTTCACACATAACAGTCAGATAACCTCCAAATACTAACCAGGAGAGCATCTGTCCTCACGTGTCACCTCTGCTCCTAGGGTGTAGGGTTCTACTTCAGACCAATACTCTGGACTCACTGTGAATGGCATTATGTGAACCTCACCACTTCCTCCTTGAATCCTTTATTTGGGTAAAGGCTGCAAAGGAAGAGGTGTGGTGGGGAGGGTCAGTGTCCCATCCCCGATAGCCTCTGCAGTTAGCTACCTGTCCTTTGAGGCCTGCCTGGCACTTGCTGCTGTCTTATATAGTGAACTAACTCCTGAGAGTTTATTGATTCAGGGTGCAGAGCTGTCGAAGGGATCCCAACACAAGAGAGAAACGTAAGCTTGTGTTCTTTAGTGGTGCTTTTGTTTCCACAAGTGTCTGGACCCGCCCACCAGGTCTTCCGGTATGGCTTTCTTTTCACTTGCTCACTCACCTGTAGGTTACAGGTGCATCGGCTGACCTTTAAAGGATGCTTTTATTGTTTTAATGAGAACAAAGGAAACTTTGCAGGACTGCCTGCCTGCTGGTGCTGCTCCTGATAACTCCTTGCCTGCTGGCCAGCTCTGGAGCTACAGCACGAGATTGAGATGTGTTTTGGTTTATGTTGAGACATGATAGAATCTCATGGTATAGACAGTGCTTTCTTGCTGTCCTGCCATTTTTATACAATTTTGAAAGTATAATATTTTTAAAAGATTAGCTCCTGGAGAATTCCTTACATGTACACCTTTCTTCTTTTCATCTTTTGATTTAGTTCGTCTTCTGACTCTTAAAACTGGAAAGGGGAGCTGGAAAAGGTTGGGTCCTTAGTAGCTGGAGGTTTGTCTAGCATTGCACGGACTTAAGTCTTATGTTCTCAGAGACCATCTGGATAAGTCCAGAGTGGAGGCTTAAGCAACTGCAGGAAAGTGGCAGGGCTAGGAGTTTGATTCCTTCTGTGCCGGCCTATGTCCATCTTACTCTCACAGGTGGCCTACATACAGACCTGCCTCTACCCAGACCCGGTCCTTTCAGGTTTCAGAGAAACTCCTTTGCATCCTTTTCCTGGGCCACAGCTCCCTTTGCTAGGACTTTGGAAGAAAACAACCCGAGAAAGCGATCTCTCCATTTTTGTTTCCTCAGATTTTGTGTTATAATCTTTTCCTCCAGATACTTAGTAGCCCAGTGACAGATGACATTTTATAACCTCTCCTGTGTGCCACTAGGCTGGGATCAGTGCTACTTGAACATTTGTGATTTCTGGAATGATTGAGTTATAATTTTAAAGATAAATCCAG